AAGGACAAGAGTTCCTATGAGATCTTATATAACAAACTCCGTACATACTCAAATCTTAGAGCTTTTGGATGTTTATGTTACTCTACTGTCCCAAAACCTCATAGGGACAAACTGCAGCCTAGGGCCATCCCTTGTGTGTTTATTGGTTATCCCTTTGGGAAGGAAGCCTATAAACTATATGACTTACAGAATAAAACATGTTTTATCTCTAGAGATGTTATATTTCATGAACATATATTCCCTTTTATTCAATCTGGATCTACTTCCCCTACTATGTCAAATTTACCATTTTCTGCTTGTTTTGATCACTCTGTTAAGCAGAATTCCTCATTGTTCCATGATTTCTTTTACCCTGCCCCATCAGTTACATCTCCTGTTTCTCCTCTTCCCTCCAACTCTGCTCCTTATGACTCTGAAATACCTCTGAACAGTTCTCTTGCTTCTCCTAATCTCTCTTCTTCTCTCTATGAATCTGAATTCCCTCCTTTAAGGAGATCATCTAGACCTCACAATCCTCCTTTTTACCTGCAGAATTATGTCTGTACTCTACCTAATCATAGCTCCAAGTCTGCCAATTCAACTGTTATGTCTACTTCTAGTGAGCATCATGCATTTGAGCCTACTACTTATTCTCAGGCAACAGATATCCCTGAGTGGCAGAATACTATGAGAAAAGAGTTTGAGGCATTGGAGACTAATGGTACTTGGGACATAGTTGAGTTACCCAAGTGCAAGAAGCCAATTGGCTGCAAATAGGTATACAAAATTAAGTAGTAAACTGATGGGAGCATAAAAAGATATAAAGCTAGACTTGTGGTAAGGGGTGATACACAGGTTGAAGGTATAGATTTTCATGAAACTTTCTCACCTGTGGTTAAAATGACTATTGTTAAAACTTTAATTGTTGTAGCTGTTAAAAGAAATTGGCCACTATTCCAACTAGATGTTAATAATGCTTTCTTGCATGGGGATTTTGATGAAGAAGTTTTTATGAAGCTTCCACCTGGTCTTTCAGTATGTACTGTGCCCCCTGATTCTGCTTCTACTCCTTTGGTCTGTAAACTCAAAAAATCTTTGTATGGATTGAGACAAGTTTCGAGGCAATGGTATGCCAAGTTGTCTCAGTCTTTGTCTTCTAGAGGCTATGAGCACTCCTTTAATAATTATTCCCTTTTCACCAAAGGTTCTGGTGATGCTTTGGTAATCTTAGTGGTGTATGTGGATGACATTATCATCACTGGGGACAGACCTGTGTGAGATTGCTGCTGTGAAAATTTTCCTCCATAATCAGTTTAAAATTAAATATTTAGGTCATCTTAACTATTTTTTGGGTATTGAAGTGCTGTATTTTGAGGGTGGGGTGCTGTTGCACCAGAAAAAGTTTGTGCATGATCTTCTCAAAGAGTTCCATTCCTATGATTGTTCTTCGGTGATATCCCCTCTTGAGATGCATGACAAATTGCAGGCTGATCATGGTGATCCCCTGCCCAATCCTGAGACTTATAGGTGTTTAGTGGGTAAACTCAATTTCTTAACCCACACCAGGCCTGATATTTGTTTTGCAGTGCAACATTTAAGCCAGTTTATGCAGAAGCCTTGGCTTTCTCACATGCAGGCTGCTTTACGTTTGCTCAGGTATCTCAAGGGTACTATTGATTTTGGGATCTTCTATAATAATTCTTCTGATCGTTCTCTCAGTGTCTATTGTGATAGTGATTGGGGATCTTGCCCGGATAGTAGGAAGTCCATCAGTGATTTTTGCATTTTATTAGGGGGATGTCTAGTAGGCTGGAAGTCAAAAAAAATAATCTGTGGTATCCTTGTCCTCTGTTGAAGCTGAATATAGGTCTATGAGTAAAGCCACTACTGAAATTACTTGGCTTTGCAGGCTTCTTTCTGATTTTGGTGTTGTTTTCTCTTCTCCTGTCAGTCTGTTTTGTGATAACCAGGCAGCCATCCACATTGCTAAGAATCATGTCTTTCATGAGCGCACCAAACACATTGAATTGGACTGCCATTTTGTTCTCACCAAGTTGAATGAAAGTCTGCTTCAGCTGCTTCACACTTCCGGTGCTAATCGGCTCGCTGATATGTTCACTAAACCTTTGGGGGGAGCTGTATATCATATGCATCTTCGCAAGTTGGGGGTTATCTCACCCTCCAACTTGTCGGGGGGTTTTGAGATACAAGCAAATACAGCAAATTAGCTACTTAGGCTTCTTCTTTTCTTTCTCTTGTTATTGGGCCCAGAAGCCCACAATGTAACTATGTATTTATCTTAGGCTGTTGTGTAATTCGTTGAGTGGTGTATATAAAATACTGGGTCGGCCCATCTATCGGGTAAGAGAGAACAATTAATATCTTGTACAGACCCTATCGGTTTTATTCTCTGGAATACAGAACACAATGAAAACCTAGAAGCCTCCATTTTTCTCTCAACTGTTTTACAACAAAACCTCAATAGTTTGTGGTTGAATCAAGTTTTAACATTGATTAAATAGATACTAAAAGACAAACAAATATTAAAACAAGATTGGAATAGGCTATGATGCATTGGTGTCCGATAGCTCTATTGGTGCTCAAACTAATCAAGATTTGGGTCACGTCAGCCCCCATTAAAGGGAGAAAATAACATTGTATTGCCACTCTCAAAATAATAGCCGAAAAATATATATTTTTTGTATATATATACATATTATACAAATTTATTATACTTTTCATCTACCAAATGTAAATAGTTTCCGGCACGAGCTGAAAGTGGGGAAAAAAAACCATTAAAGGAGGGATGTGCTTTCTACCAAAAAATATTTTTTTCAACTTCTCGAAATCGGAACCTTTAATTATAAACGGCAAAGGGCCAAATATACCCTTCTACTTTCGAAAATGGTCTAAGAATATCCCTCGTTATACTATTGGGTTATCTATACCTCTGCAGTCATACTTTAGGTTCAAATATACCCCTCATTTAAACGGAGGGACACGTGTCATCGTCCTGTTGGTCAATTCTAAATATCTCCGAATTAATTAAAAAGACTCATTATACATACCCGAAAAATAATTTTTAAAGCAATTTTTTTTTGTAAAAACTGGAAAAAACTGAAATTATTTTTACTAAAAACTAAAAAAACGAAAATATTATTTTTTCAGTTTTTACAAAAAAACTACTTTAGAAAAAACTAAAAACTATTTTCTAAAACAATGTTTTTGTAAAAACTGAAAAAATAAAGCTGAAAATCAATTTTCTAAAGCAATTTTTTTTGTAAAACCTGGAAAAAACTGAATTGTTTTTACTAAAAACTGAAAAAAATAAAAATATTTTTTTTCCAGTTTTTACAAAAAAACTGCTTTAAAAAAAGCTGAAAAATATTTTCTAAAACAATATTTTTGTAAAAACTGAAAAACAAAACTAAAAAGTAATTTTTTAAAGCAATGTTTTTGTACAAACTGAAAAAATAAATATTTATACAGTTTTTAGTTAAAAATATTTCAGTTTTTTTCAATTTTTAATTGCTTTAGAAAATTATTTTTCAGTTTTTTGTTTTTCAGTTTTTACAAAAATATTATTTTAGAAAATAATTTTCAGTTTTTTTAAAGTAGTTTTTTTGTAAAAAATGAAGAAAAAAAAATATTTTCGTTTTTTTCAGTTTTTAGTAAATTTTGTTTTTGTTTTTTCCAATTTTTACAAAAAAAAATTATTTTTCGGGTATGGGTAATAGGTATTTTTAATTAATTAGGAGATATTTAGAATTGACCAACAGGACGATGACACGTGTCCCTCCGTTTAAATGAGGGATATATTTGAACCCAAAGTATGATTGCAGGGGTATAGATAACCCAATAGTATAACGAGGGTTATTCTTAGACTATTTTTGAAAGTAGAGGGGTATATTTGACCCTTTGCCGAATTATAAATCAATGAATCATATTCATGAGCATAGTCCTTGGTGGCTATGATGTCATTACACCTTTTATTTGTGTTGGTAAAAAGAAGAATTTTCATTAAAACTAATAAACATTCATCATACATCCTAGCTCAACTAAGCTTATAAAAAAGTTGCATTATGGCTCATCAAGTTAGCCCATTTAATGACACGAAATTCGATCCTACCCGCCCAACTTTTTAATTATGTTTTTTTTTGCTGAAATTTCCAATATTTTTAACAGATTGGACAACTTTTCTGAAAAAAAGTAGTAATTTGTATGAAAAAAAGTATGTACAATAGGGAAATCTGTTAGGATAGTTGTAATTCTTCTTAAATTTTGTTGACAAAAGACGAGTTATTCAATAAAGAAGTACCTCGATAGTATCCACATCAAAAAGCTCTTAAAATAATTTTATTGAGATTCTTGAAAGAAAGAAAAACGCAGACCCATTTGGAAAAAGTCAAAAAACTTTTGTAAATAGAATCCGTTCAGAAGGTAAAGATGTTTGAGAAAAAAAATTTCAAAAAAACGAAAAAAGAACTTCTCAAATGTGTTACAAATTACTAACTCCAGTCCATATGATTTATTGTTTTGGCAAACTGAATTTGTATCAAAATATTTAACGTTTTAGGGAACAAGAAGCATTTACTGCTCTTTCTTGTTTCTTCAAATCCATCGTTATTAATTGTGTACTGTTCACTAAGTGAGGCATTTAAGAGAATGTATACAAGGTAATTTAGATAAATATTTTAGCAAAGATATGCAAAAATTTTAAAAGATGAATAATATAGACGGGAGATAATAATAGAGAAATAAGTAGACATATAAAAAGAATCACAAATATTAATATTCTAATTCATCATAAAAATTTATTTTGGTTATATATCCTTTTCTATGGGATATTAAAATAAAGAGAAAAATTAGTCTAAGCCTAAATAAAACACAGGAAATTTCTTTGCACGTGTTTATGTTACAAAATTGAGTCAATTGACATTCATATGCAGACAAAATAAAAGAAAAACAATTAAACCATTTCCAAAGAACAGTTACAAAATTCAAAACTCAGTCTTAATGTCAAGCACGTGATCGTCAAACACATACCTGCACAATCTCCACGTTAGAGAACCTCGCCTTGAACCGCTCAGCCACCTCCTTTCCTAGCGGCGCTCCGCCGCACGCCACCAGCTTCAGCGACGTCAGATCATACTTCAGTACCAACTCCGACTTTGCCATCGCCACCACCAAGGGCGGAGACACAGGCATGTAGGTCACCTTATACTTCTCCACCGCCGCCAACATCTTCTCGAAATCGAATCTCTCCATTATCACCGCCGTTTCCCCCATCGCCGCTAACCTAATCAGGATGAAGAATCCAAAAACGTGAAACAACGGCAACGTCAAAATCGCCACGTCTTGCTCAGCATTTTCGCTTTCATCGCTGCTGAATTTGTTATTGTATAAACCGGCCGTTAAGGCAATCAAATTCCGGTGAGTTAACTCGACTCCCTTGACTCGGCCAGTAGTTCCAGACGAGTAAAGAATAGCTGCCGAATCAGTTTGGTGAACAATTGAGTTGAAGTTGGACATAGGCGTAGCAATGGGGTGTTCAAGCATGGAGAGGAATTTGGGGGAGTCAATTAAAATGGTGCGGAGGGGAAATGAAGGGATGAGTTTATGGGAATTCGATGAAGTAGTAAAAGCAATGGTGGGTTTACTGAGTTGGATCATGTGAGTTAACTCGGTAGAAGAAGAGAGCGGGTTAGCCGGGGAAACAACAATGCCAAGGGAGAGAAGCGCAAAGTAGAGGACTGGAACATGAAGCGATGGAGGAGAGAGGATAAAGGCGACGTCGTTTTTGGAAAGGGACGGGAACTGGATCTTGAGGGAAGAGGCAAGGGATTGGGTTTTGTGAAGGAATTCGGAGTAAGAGAGGCTGCGGCCTGTGGTGGAGTCGATGAGGAAAGTGGTGGTGGCGGTGGTTGTGGAGTTGAGGAGAGAGAGTGTGTACTGAATTATGGAAATGGGCTGTGATAAAGGTGGCAATGGAAGTGACGACCTTAGGCTGTGGAAAGTTTTGGTATGAGTAGAGTAGCCATTTTTCGGGTCTATGCTATAGTGCTCCATGAATGGATTTTGAAGAAGCTCAAATTTTGGGAAATTTCAGTGTGGAGGCAACAACAATTATACAGTAGAAGAGATGCGGGAAAGAAAGAGATTCTAAATAAATGTGATCAGATTTCTATAATATCTCTTTTTTGTTCTCCAAATATGGTAATAATAAATTAGATTAGATTAAGGGTGTGTAAGGAAAATGTTTTCTTTTCGTGGAAAATGAGTTGGTTTATAACTTATTTTCCCTTGTTTGGTTGGTGAGTGGAAAACCTTTTCCGAAAAATAGTTTCTATTATTTGGTTATAAAGTTAAAAATAACTTTTTAGAAAAATATTTTTTTATGGTACTCTCCTCCCCCTCCCTCCCCCAAGTCCACACTTTTCCTCCCCCTTCCCCCGCCCCACCAAATACCCAACGTTTTCAGGACTCTATTTTCTTCAAGAATTTAATTATTCTTCTAAAAATTCACACAAACTCAAAGGAACTAATGTAATGCTTTACTTTTTTACGCAAAAACGTTAAAATTTGTGCTCCATAGCTAAAAAGAAAATACTCTTTTTTTTGGTTGAAAAAAAGTACTCTTTCTACAACATGAAAATAAAGTACTCATTTTTTTTAAATAAAAAAATATATTTTTTCTACATCATGAAAAAAAAATACTCATTTTGTTGAAATGAAAAAAATACTTTGTTGAAATGAAATAAACTACTTTTTCTACATCATGAAAAAAAAATACTCTTTTTGTTGAAATGAAAGAAAATACTTTTTACTTATTTATTTTGTTGAAATGAAAAGTAATATTTTTTCTACATCATGAAAAGAAAGTAATTTTTTTGTTAAAATAAAAAAAATAAAAAACTTTTTTATATCATGGAAATAAAATACTCATTTATTGAAATGAATTTTTTTTAATCTATAACATAAAAAAGAAAGTACTATTAATAATATTTTTATTTATGGTGGGGTGGGTATGGGGTCGGTAGCTAGGGGTGTGGGATGGGTTAGTGGAGGTTGGTAGGGATGGCGAATAGGGTGGGAAGGTTGAAAAAGAGTTTTGGAAAATATTTTCATTAGAGNTATATATATATATATATAGATAGATAGATAGGGTGTTTGAATTAACAAGATATCCTTCTAAAATTAAACGACCTCTTTTACCCTTTAATCATGCATTCTTCCTTCAATACTATTGTACAAAAATGTAAAAACAATTTATATTAACAACTAATAATTCTTCATAAAACTAAAGGACATTCATTGTATATTACATCTGTGACGTAATTATATACTTGCTTTCGGTGATTATAATTTCTATATTAGCTTCTTAGGAGTTAAAGCTGTGATGGCTGTTTGGTTAGATTTTTTAGAAAGTTGAAATGTACCAAAATTTAATATATTTAACACTTTTATTATTCTCATCAAAATATTTCCTTAAGTTACACTAGAATTGCTATTGCAAATTAATTCTTAGAGATTTTTGACCATTCAAAAAAATGAAACAACATTATCTATTTCTATCTATCTATCTATCTATCTATCTATCTATCTATCTATCTATCTATCTATCTATACTATATTAAAAGTACGAAGGTTCTTAGCGAAATGTCGTTTGCCTTTTTTATCCTCTTAAAATATAGTGCACACTGAATAAAATAGTCATTTAATTATTCTTCCTAATATTTAGGAATAATCATTTAATTATTCTTCTGATATTTAGAAATTCAAAATCAACTAAATATTATGTATTAAATTTTTTCTTATCTGAACTATGTAATATACCATATTTGCAAAAGAAAAGTAACAATACATAACACAAGAAAATCACGTTTTTAGGGTTTCGAGTCTTTTTGTTTGTTATTAGATTCATTCGAAACAAATCCTAAAACCTCACAAAGAAAAATTAAACTCTGCGACTACCTTGTGTAAAGCGCACAACATAATTTTGACTATTTGCATACTTAAGGTTGAGGTTAAGCATTCGTTCTTTCTACTCTCTTTTTTATTACGTTAATTAATTCATTATGTATTTGATATTTCTTTGGTGTTGATTCACTTATGTATTTTTAGTGGGGATCTGAATCGTTTGACCTATAGCAAGCACATTTATGTGAATTTTTCTTCCTATTTTTGTTACAAATATTCATCCGTGATTCGTTTAATCTATTTTATTTTTACGGTTCTATAGAATGAATGATAAAAGAATTTTCTTCTGGTGAATAAGGGAAAGAAAGATTTATAAAGTTTAGGTTGATTAGAATTGGGTGAAGGTATGTCCCATTTTAATTTTTCTTTTTCATAATATATTATCACTACTTTTTTTATATGTCTAAAGACTTCTTTGCGTTCTAATTGAACTTACACTAGATCGAAGTTGTTAAGAAAATGTAATTTTAGGATGATATTTTAATTGAAGATGACTTTAATGTTTTTAACTTCCTTTGCCGCATATTCTATGAAGATTGATTTAAAATTTTGATTGTTTATTTTCATCTTTTAACTATTATACTACTTAAGTCTATTGTTCTTTAAAAATAATTCATTAATTATGGTGATTTTGTAGTAAAAGATCAACAATTACTCATTCCTCAAGTTAATTCCCCCATTAACTTCGACGGCGAGATTTGAGCATATGAATTGATACTCTCCAGCTCTGGCTATGGTTAGAAAAAGGGAATGAGTACGGCTTGAGGTTCAAAAATCTTTCATCTTTAAATACAGAGAAAGGATGCAAATATATGATTATCCCATTAAATGACCAGATTATGACTATAATATGACGTTTATTTCGGTAAGTGTTTCTTTAAAAGTTTGATTGATAGTCTATAATTTTTAGCTATTTTTAAAATTTAATTAATTAGGCAAGTTATTCTACAAGTTTTTTCTACAAATATATAGTTCTATAGTATCAATTATGATAGAAATAGTAGTTAATTGAAGTCTTTATTTGTTAAAAGTTGTTACTGTCAACAAAACTATGTACTTTTGTACTTTTGTATTCGTTGAACTTTATGTCATTTTTTTAGGCAAAATATATAGTCTATGCATCGACCTTGCAACGAAATTCTTTGTACACACCTCTCGTTCATAGAAATTTTTTTACATACTCATTCTTTCAGAAGTGTATCTAAGACACACCACTTTTGTACATGACCAATTTTTCAAATAACGTGAAAGTCACGTCCTAATAGGGTCATGACACGTGTCATTGACCTTAAAAAGGAAAAAAAATATATTATAAATTACAATTAAAACTCATCTTCTTCATCTTCCCTTTTTCTATCTTAAGCACCATTGTTGCAACGACCCGGCCGGTCGTTTTGAATATTATAATCCCATTTTCCCATTTACTGCTCAATCTATGCATTGCTATTGATTTATGACTTATCGGGTTAGTTGGTTCGGGTCCGGAAGGAATTCGAAGTAAAATAAGACACTTAGCCTCATAATTTAAAAAAAATATTAAGTTAGAAAAGTGGACCAGATATGGACCTATGTGTAAACAACCTCGGATTTGAATTCTGATAATTTCAATAGTTTCGTATGGTGATTTCGGACTTAGAAACATGTCCGGAAGAATTTTTGGAGGTCCGTAAAGAAATTAGACTTGAAATGCCAAAAGTTGAATTTTTGGGAAGTTTGACCGAGGGGTTGACTTTTTG